AATATTAGATCACTCCATAAACATATTAACAACTTTCTACAGTATGATTTTAAAAATACACACACACACACACACACACATTCCATACCTTCAGCTGGGAAAGACATCTCATTCTATGAGTTTCAGTTCTTTTCTTAGTTTCCCCCATGTTGTTCTTCTGAATGTTCCAAGTTATATATGTCTTAAATCTTGATATTTCTTAGTTCTACCCTTTTAAGAAGACAAAAAAAAATCTAAATTACTGACAAAATCATAAGTTGTCATTCTTTTGAAGAAAATACTGAATCTGATTGAAATAATCAGAATCTATTGTATTACAAAAATACCTGGGAAGCTTTTAATTCAGATCTAGAAAATAATGATGTTAGAGAAGATCTGTTAATTTTCCATTGGAAAAGTTAAAGCAAATAACTGTAGTTACTCTTTAGTAAGATTAGAGATACTAGATTAATTTGTTATGTTTCCCTTGCAAAATAATGACCTCATGATTAAAACAAAGTTTTTCATTTCTTTAGCCAAAACAAATAGAACCAAAGTGAACTCTTTGGACTTACATGAAAATGCTGCTTTTAAAAGCACACAGACTTTGATGTGCGTTTGTGCAAAAAATCTGCTTCAGAGCCTAGCAAGGCTCAGAAATCTCTATTTGGCCAGGCTCCCTCTTCAAGTTCTTTGCGTTCCAAAACTTCCCTGGAGTCTCAGGAAGGGAAACACTTTCTGGGGCACTGCTGGTTCACAGAAACCTGGGGAGACATGGAATTTTAATCATGGAGATTGCCTAAGTGAAAATAACAAATAATCTATGATCTGGAAAAAGAATCCTTTAACTGCAAGGTAAGATGTGAGGTTTAGAAGAAGCCAAGCAAAGGAAGGTAGATCTATATGTGTACATTTCTATGGAGTATATAGGCATATAGTTTTATATGTAAGACATAAGAAAGCCCTTCACTTTATTAAATTCTACTAAACCCGCGTCAAAGATTATGTCTGTATCTTGCAACTAGTACAATATATTATACTAAAACTGAAATATTTTATTCTAACAATATTATAGTAACTTACTTCAAGTGACTAGAATGATATCTTAACAGTCCGCTTGACATTATTGTTTTTAAATCCTCTGAACACTGTCCATTTAACAAATCATCCTGACTGACACTCATTTTTAAAGACCTAATGCTGTACCTCTATTCATGAGTTGAATCACACTCCCCTACACACATTAAGACAATAGTCACTGAACGATTACGTATAAGCTCTGTTCTCTTTATTCATTCTCTCATGGGCACAACAGAATTGTTTTGAAAGTCGATTATGTGCTAGTCATTGTACTATGTGCTGTAATTCATCAGTCAATGAGGCAAACAAACTGTTCTAACGATAGTTTAATCTGGCTAGAGAAGCATGACACTCTGTGAATGTACTTGGACCAGACCACAAAGAAGTTACAATTTTATTAGGAAAGGTAAAATTTTTCCATAAATCAAACGAGTAGAATTAGTGTCATCAAATACAAATTTGCATGTAAGAGGTAAAAGATTCATATATCGTAGATGAAAATTATTATTCACTTGGCAGTTCTGAATGATCAGACAAATGAATTCATGTAAATCCCCCACCCAAAATTCCAAATCACCTTAACTGTAATACAAGTACATGGCACTTGTTTTGGAGAAAGCTAACAGAAAGGGGATAATTTTTACAGAATAGGAACAGCTATTATTTGGGTGTCCTTTGTCATACAGCTCCTGTCCTCATACACCTCTCAATTGCCCTCATTCCTTCTTTTATATGCATTTAGAACCCAACCTCGCTTCCTTCTTTTTTCTTCTATCCCCCCCCACCTACGTCTGAACCCAACTATTACAATAGGAAAGAGAAAACTTATCCTCTTCCTTGTCAAAACTGTTTTCTCTCTCTCTAGTAGCTAAAGACTTACCTATTCCAAATGCTGGTGTTCTGGTGTAAGTGAGGGTCATACAGTTAGTGTTACAGAAAATTGCTGTGTACAGGAATTCTGCAGTTCCTTCTATGCATGGTGACACTGTGTAGCAATCTAGAGCTGGTTTTAGCATCTCTTTCCAAGGTTTGTTTCAAAATGTGTTTACTTCCTTCAAGGAGGTCTCATAAGCAATTGCCTGGACTAAGGCTTGAAGCTTGCAAAGAAATTATATGTGAGAGCCCTTCCTAGTGGTGCAGCAAGTTAAAGCATAGCACTGAGAAGCTAAAGTCACTTCAGCATGAGTTCGAAAAGGTGACCCACATGGCGCGTCAGACCTCTTCTGACCCGCCTGCTGCTCCCCTCAGCAGTGTACTTTGTCAGTCGGCCTGTTCTGCTCCCCACTCTGTCTCTGGTGAATCTTCTCACCACCCCTGCACCTCTGGCCTGTACCCCCGTTCTGTGTGCATAAATAAATAAATCTTTAAAAAAAAAAAAAGAAAGAAATTATATGAGATTAAGTGAACATTCACCTTTCCTTAATTTGCCAATTTACTTAATGAAAACTTTTAGTTTTTCAGACACAGCTTAACATTTTAATGGATGAAAGCAATGCAATGAAAATATTAAAAAATCTATTTTGTTAGTTTAACAAAATACATGAAATCCAAAGTAATATCACATAGTCAAGCACTTTAGCCCCAAATCAGGAGATGCACGCATTGCTTCCTCACATCCTCTCTGCCTGGGGAGTGCCAGCCATGTGGACAGGCTCCTTTTGTTAGCACAGAATTGTTTGCATGGGAACTTTGTGCCTGGGACCACAGCAGGGACAAATCCCCATCAGTCATCACTGCTAATGAAAACAACTAGATCCAGTTTGATGAGGTGGAGGAGCTTTACTTTCTCTAGCTCTGAGCTTTCAGCAGCAGCCAGTCATTCTTCAGTGCACATTCTCAAAGAAACATGCGTGAGTTTTCTCCATGTCTATGGTGCTTTTTGGTTTTGTGCTCTTTTATTTCTAATTGTGGTAAAAGCATTTGACAAAACTGTTAAGTACATTCAGTTATGAAAACTTTCACTGTGCTTGTCAGAAATGGTAAGCCCTCCCGGGCTGCTGCCAGCTAATGGCCAGCTCCTAAAGACATGTCTCCATCATAGATATGGGTTTGGTTTTGTTTTGTTTTTGCAAAACAAATAATCTTGTGCTCTTGTCCCATCATTAATTATATAAACATTGTGTTTTATTACTGTAAGCCACCTGGGGAAAAGACATGCATTTCATTTTAGACTATGCTATACCACAGAATTAACAAAATAAATATTTTATTATGGCAAAGCTAGCAGTACATACATGAAGAAGACTTAGAAGAACGTCCTTTCCCTGGGACAAAAGAGAGGGTGACTCCAGCAAAAATCTTAAGAAAATTGTTTATTTCCCGAATCTCCAAATGGCTCCTCCTTCTGCAAGAGAGGACAGCCTCTAGGGCGGTACCCTGCTGAAAGAATTTCAACCAATACCAAACCAAGCAGATAAATGCCAGTGAAAGGCTTGTAGAATCAACAATGACATTTTGTGTGATGCCTACCAAATTCTGTTACATTTGTTAGTTCCCACTAATCAGACATCAAAGAATAAGATTAAAATCTGTATATTAGTCTTACAAATGCCAGTATTGGTTTATTTCTATGTCCAGAGGAAATACCAGAAATTCATCACTCTAAGCAAAACTAGAGAAACGTAGCAGTCCATAGACTATTAAATGTATGCATGATTTCACCATGCAAGGCAAAGTGTGCAATGCACAGAATACCAGTAAAAACCGTCACCTGCAACCAGCAATAGAAGGACCTACCATACTACTTTTTCTAACATTCAAACTCTGGATATAGACCAAAGCAGTAAACTTGAAACTTGACTCGATGTCTTTAGAATTGGTTGTGAAGATCGCCATTGTTCTTTTTCATGCCAAGTAATTCTAGAAAACAATCAGATAACTATAGGAGTAGCCAAGTTTCCCTACACTTGCAGTTTAAACTGTTTCATTTCTTCCCATGGTTATCACACTTCTCTTCTTTTTGCTTACATAGACAATTTTGGGTACAAAAGCATGTTCCTTCATTTAATTGTAGCAAATAAACACTGATCTGATCCTTTTTCTTATAGAGATACAATTTCTATCTGTTTATGAAGCTCCCAAAATAGGGCCTCCTTGGTGGCATAAGAGGTTAAGTGTCAGCACTATGAAGCTTTCCAAAGCCACTGCAGCACAAGTTCAAGCCCTGGCCAGGGAGGTGACCCACATTGCTCAGCAGACCTCTCCTGTCTCACCCTGCTCCCCTCAGTAATGTATTTCAATCACTCAGCCTGTTCTGTTCCCCACTCTGTCTTTGATGAATCCTTTTACCACCCCTGTACCTCTGACCTCTACACCCAGTTCTGTATGCATAAATAAATATATCTTTTTTAAAAAAAAATCTCCAAAATAAATGCAAATCCACTAACACATTTAGATTTTTTCTCAATCCATTTATTTTTAAATTTGTTCAAACACATGAGTAAATACATGAAGGCAGCTAGGTGTAGTCAAAATGTCAAACCTTGAAGTCCGTTTAGCTTGGGTTTAATCCTAGTTTAGCTGTGAGTTGTTTAAACTCTGTGAGCCTGTTTTTTCTTCTCTGTGATGTGGGAATATTTATGCCTACCTTGTAAAATTGTAATGAAAAAAATGAGTCTAAAAATTTGCATGAGCCTCCCAGCAATATTACTAAAATAAAAAATTGTCACTCTGTAAATGGTAATGATTTATTATTCACTAGTTCCACAAATATTTAGTAAGGCTCTACTACATTCTAAACACAGTAGTTGGTGCTAGGGATACAAAGATGAATACAAACATGTTTGTGGTTGAGAGGTCTAACAAGCTATTGAAAAAGATAATTAAATTATGATAATAGTAGCATAGTGAAAGACAGTTTGATTTAAGTAAGAAGAGAGGCAATTAATGAAACTTCTAGATATGATCCTTCTATGACAGTCTTCATTACATGGACTTTGAAAGAGGCACACCTAGTTTTAAAAACTTTAATTGCCTTTGTGATTTTGTGGAAGTCTCTATCTACACATTGAGGAATGTCTCTATATCTGACAAGATCCAAATAGGAAGATAAGACCCCTGGTAAGGGGCCCTCCCTGGTGGCGCAGTGGGTTAAAGCACAGCACTGAGAAGCTTAAGCCACTTCTGCAGGAGCTCGA